CTTCACCTATAATGCCTGAAGAGTTTAGAAAACATCTGCCAGGAGATCAGAGACCATTCCTTCATCCAGAATCTCTCCAAACATTTCAGATTTCCAGCTGCAAGTTGATGTTTGTGGATCATTGTCCTGTTGGAAGATCCAACATTGGCCCATTATACGATTTCTAGCAGAGTCAGTCAGTTTTTATTTTTTTATCTCTTGTTATTTGATAGAATTCATGATGCCTTCTATCTGAACAAAATATTCAGGATCTCTGGCAGAAAAATAGGCCCACAGCATTAAAGATACAGCAGTATATTTCATTGTACAACTGGGGTACATTTTTACTCCTGCGTTCACCAAACCCGTCTTGAGTGTTTGCTGCTAAAAAGCTCATTTTTTTAGTTTTATCTGACCATGGAAGCCAGTCCTTTTTGAAGTTCCAGTAGTGTCTGGCAAATTAAAATGCTGGAGTTTGTTTTTGGATGAGAGCGTTTTCTTTTCTTGATTTTCTTCTTGAAACCCTCCCAAACTACATGTGGTGACGTAAGTGCTGTTTGATAATTTTTTTAAGGTTTTCTGACCCAGAGACTCAACTATTTCCTGCAATTCTTAGGCTGTGATCCTTGGAGATTCTTTGGCCACTTAAACTCTCCTCCTCACCGTGCATTAGGACGGTGCAGGCAGATTTCCAGGCAGATTTGTAGCATTTTCTGTTGATTGGAACGTCTTAATTATTGCCCTGATGTTGGAAATGGGAATTCCTAGTTACCCTGGTGTGATAAAAAGTGCAACTATGAATGGGAATATACTTCAGAGATATTTTAATCATAAGAATTTCTAGGGGTACACAATTGTGGCCATTGTGTATTAGACAAAAATATTTATTTCATAATGTGATTTTCCCCCATTTTCACTTTTTTGACTTTTATTTTTATTTTTATTTTACTTTATTTATTTTTTGAATGAAAGATCAAATGGATAAACAATACGGACTTATTTTCAAAACCTTCTTTGATCATATTTACCAAGGGTATGAATAATTTTGAGCACAACTGTATATATACAGCACATCGAATTACAAAAACGTAAACTGAAATTCTATTGAAACTGAAAATGTAAAAGTGAATTCAAAATATTGCTAAATACTATAATAGTATACCACTGAAATAGCACTGTTTTTGTATCTCTGTTTAGGTGTGGTTGCAGTGCTCTTCTGTGGCATTACTCAGGCTCACTATACATACAACAACCTTTCTGCTGAATCAAAGAGTAGATCCAAACAGGTAACACAAAAACTATTTATATTTTAATGGGGCATCTCATAGTTAAGAGTTCTCTGTTTTTGATGGTTCAAGATTTGCATACTGATAGTATTGTCCACCATTTCCCCCAACAGTTGTTTGAGCTGCTGAATTTCCTGGCTGAAAACTTCATCTTCTCTTATATGGGCTTGACACTTTTCTCCTTCCAGCACCATGTGTTCAATCCCTTCTTCATCATAGGTGCATTTGTATCCTTTTGTAGCAGGATGTTTATGCTGTACTCATGAATTGTATACAGATAAACATGATCTTTAACAGTGGCTTTCATTTGTAGCTGGCTATATTTCTTGGCAGGGCGGCTAACATCTACCCATTGTCTTTCCTGTTAAACTTGGGCCTCAAGAATAAAATCGCCTCCAATTTCCAACACGTCATGATGTTTTCCGGTAATACCTGCAGAGATCAGAGACAACTGAAGTGCCCAATGTCCTTTTTTTTCTCTTGTTTATGATGTCACACTGACCTCACAGGGCTCCGAGGGGCAATGACCTTTGCCCTCTCAATTAGGGACACTGCGACATACGCCAGGCAGATGATGTTTTCCACCACCCTACTGATCGTTTTCATCACTGTGTGGGTCTGTGGGGGCGGGACGACCCCCATGCTGTCACTTATGCAGATTCGGTGAGTTGTCTTTTATGTTTAAATTATGTCTTTCTTTCATTGTTTTTTGTCTAAATCACTTTATCTTTCCACAGAGTGGGAGTGGACAAAGATCAAGATAATTTGGTAATCTCTACTCATGTCTGCTCAAAATGCAACAGTTGATATCAGAAAAATTAGTGTTTAATGTTCAAATATTATCTCTTATCTCGTCTTTTTCTCTGCTCATATAGGCCACAGCACCGGATGGGATGACACAAACAAGTACCAAGCATGAGAGCGCCTGGCCGTTCAGATTGTGGTACACTTTTGACCACAAGTATCCTTCAGTTGTTCTGCCTAGTTTTATCAACAATTAAATTGTCCCTAAAAACATGATTTATTTATAAATAAGAATGTTTTTTACTTTATACACTACATATTAGATTAGACAATCTTTGGCAAACATAATATATTCTGCATCTCCAACATTATGTCTTCAATGCGGCATATTAAACAGTAGAGGGCACTCGTGATCTGCAGTAAAATTTATATCAAGCTTAGATTTTTATTTATTTTTTCATCTGGAATTCACTAATACAGGGAAGTGTTTTGTCAGCCAAGTATGAGATTTTAAATGTTTCAATAATTTACCACCACATTTCTCTGTCAGTTAATGGTCACATGACATTCAGGTAAACAAATGATAATTTTTTTGTTGTTTTAATTGTGAAATTATTCATTTTAATTTTACAGTTTTAATCACTATCTTTTTCATAAAATCATAAACCCCCTGCAATTCCTTCACGAACCCCCAGGGGGAAACACTGCACTAAAAAATTTGACAACCCTTGCAAATGATTATTATAATTCTGAGAATTATTATAATTAGTCATTGCACAAAGTGCAGGTGCAAAGCCAATACAATACAGTGAGCATGCATCCAGAAGTATAAATAGGCATACAGTATATAAATTATGGAAAAGTGATAAATAAATATCATTGCATAAAATGGTAAATTTCAAATGCAAAATAAAATAAATGTTCAGTATATGTGATTATATGTATGCATAGCATGTGACAGTAAACACATTTATAATGATACCAAAAATTGGTTTGTAATAAATGCTGTTTTTTTTTACTTCATAAAAATGTATGCATTAAATCGATCAAAAGTGACACTTAAGACATTTATAATGTTACAAAAGATTATTCCTGAGTAAAATGTATCATAAATTCCACAAAAACATTAAGCAGCACAACTGTTTTCAACATCCATAATAATAAGAAATGTTTCTTGAGCAGCAAATCAGCATATTAGAATGATTTCTGAAGGATCATGCGACACTGAAAACTGGAGTAATGATGCTGAAAATACAGCTTTGCCATCACAGGAATACATTACATTCTAAAATATATAAAACACTTATTTTAAATCGTAATAATATTTCACAATATTGCTGTTTTTACTGCATTTTTGACCAAATAAATGCAGCCTTGGTGAGCATATATGAGACTTCTTTTAGTGTAATTAATCATAAATAGGAGTAGTATACTTGCGTAATTTTAAATACAGTTTAATCCTTAACAATGTGGTCCAGTTATTTAAAACCCTTCCTCACTCACAGCGGGCCTCCACTCACTTCCACTCTGCCGGCCTGCTGTGGTCCAATAGCACGCTGTCTCACCAGCTCACAAGCCTATGAGGTAAACCCGTGAACACATTCAGCTGCTACTGGCTCATACTACAGTGTAAAATCACATGAGCACACGAGTGCAATCAGAATTATGCAAATCATGGCTTTTCTTTCCCCTCCTGCCAGAATGCTGGTCAGTTAAATGATGAAGACACAGAGCTGATTCTGAATGACGGCGGTGGTTTGATGTACAGTGACATGATGGTCAGCACAGATGCCCATGGCATACCCACCACCTCCACCAGCCAGGCTGGGCTTTACTCGCTAGCAGGAACCTCAGACGATCCTCTGGATAGGGAGCTTGCGTTCGGAGGCACCCGTCTGGTTCTCCCCACAGATGAGCCTCCAGACCCCCTGACGTCATTCCCTCCTCCTCCGCCATCCCCGCCCCTGTCGGATCCTCTGCGCCACCGAGTCTGAGCCTGCCAGACAGCTGCTAACCTCTTGGCCTCTATGTGATGCTTTCTTTCACAGATATTAAGTTAAATGATTATTTATGCTTTTATTGATTTATTATATTGTGCCATATATATATTTATTTATTTGTCTAGACACTGGTGTACAATGGTTGTGGTTGCTAATCCTTCTGTTCCTAATTTCTCCCACCAAAAAAATCGAAATCGAAATAAATTTTGTGTTTGAGTTTTGTGTAGCTTAGACAGAATGTCTGCATCTATTGTGAATGCATTGATGTGTCCGGATTGATCATTTCAAAGTCTTACATAACTTGTGGCTCTCCTTGTGGATACATTTTTTTATAAAGAAGTGCCTATGTCAGGTAACCTGGTGTTTGTACTGTGCTATATGACTCATCGTTACCTCATTAACATTTACTTATATGAAAAAGAGATTTAATTATACATAGGAAAAGTGACTTATTTGAAAGTGTTTTGTTACTGTTCCACACCATTGATCCTCTAATAAATGAGATTTGATGTACTTTTTAAGCCCGTGTTGAAAATTATTTGGGTGCAGGAATTTTCTTCATGGATTCATTTATTAAAAATATATTCTGCTATCGGGTAAAAATGTTGCCAGTCGCAACTTTATTTGTAAGTACTTGAAGAATATAACCCAACTAATGCATTCCATCTCCAAAAGGAGATTTAAAATCTTACAAAAATTGAATTTAAATCCCTTTGTTATAAAGGAAAGTGCTCGTGTTTAAGAAAATGAAACTACTGGACGTTTTTTTGTTTTTGTTTTTGCAAGGAATAAATAAAACGTTCGCGTCCTTCCCGTCGTCACTTCATGTAGATTACAAAGCCTATGTAAAACTTCTTATTATTCATGAGCTAAATCTTCGTAATTGGATGGAAGCTCCAGCGTAGCGTCAGGAATGCCTAATTAATATTTATAAGAACGCTTTAGCCATTGGAAGTGTACCGAAGAACGTTAGCATGACCTAATTTATATTTATGAGCTAAGACTTCTCTACGACAACACCACCAACGCAAAACCGGACCAAGTGCACACACTTTTAAACTTTGCTGTGGCGGCAGAGGACAGGACACTAAGAGCACCATATCCCCCAGAAAAGGTACGTTAAACTTTCTCAACGGTAAGAAGCTCAGACAAGTCAGCGAAAATTACGTTTTTTTTAATAGGATAAGGTAGGCTAATCAAAATCGCGCAACATCCAGAATCATAGGGACTTGGTTCTGCTGACATGCAAAGACCTGTGCTTAGAAAACATCAAATAACAGAGACATAAAAAGAGGCAAAATAATGTTTTTATATGCAAGTAAATAATCAATAATAAAATCATATAAAATATTTTATTTCAGAAAATATTCTAATCAGTTTGGTGTTGTATGATCAACATGAATTTATATCACCTGCCATTAATACAACAAACATCCTTCAGTTATCCTGAAAAAAAATATATCATATTTTTAAACTGGCTTTAGCTGTTTAATATTTAATCTGGCCAATAAAATGTCTACCTTCTTCATGTTCAGTATACAATTTTGATTAACCTCATTGATATTATATCAGTGTTTGAGTCTGAATATGAAGTGCATTGATGTAAGTACAGTAAATTGAAGATGGGGCGTTGGCTGCAGGGATTTTCTGCATGTTCTTTCAGCCTCTGAAATCTGTTTCTTATTAAAGATTTTCACTCCAAAGATCTAGCCACATGTCTAAGGACTGATGAGGTGAGAGACTCCGCTGGACAGTTTATGTCTAAATTATGTGCAGAAAGGAATTCACCCCATGAGAGTGATATAAAATATCTGAAATCTGTCTTTGATGTCCATAATTCCCTGTCATTATCCGGTGCACATTCCGAAGAAGTAAATTACACAGAAAAATGATTAGGCTATCATACCATGTCTGGCATACATTATTTACTCTCTATCCCTTTTCCCATTTGGACACTTCTTGCTGGCTGAAGGTGACAGACACTGAATTCAGAGTGATTATTTCTAAGGTGACTAATATACAAATGTGTTTTCGCACACAGTCCATAAACAAATAACAATATGATATGTGGTGTTGATATAATGCACATTTAAATAGAGGAAGCAAACTCCGTGTACGTACCACAAGACAAGTATTGTATTGTATCAAGGGCGCATGGACGGTCTCATGTGTTTGAGTCACTGCCTCAGGACTGATTATGAATCAGGAGCTAGTTGCAACAAACCTCCTACAAAGGAATAGTTCACCCAAAAATGAAAATTTGCTTAAAATGTAGTCACCTTCAGACCATCCAACATGTAGATGGGTTTGTTACTTCCTCAGAACAGATTTGAAGAAATTTAGCATTACATCTCTTGCTCACCAATGGATCATTTGCAGTGAATGGGTGCCACCAGAATGACAGTTCAAATAGCTGATAAAAACATCACAATAATTCACAAGTAACCCACATGGCTCCAGTCTATTGATTAACACGTTAATGCATCTTGTGAAGTGAAAAGCTGGATGTTTATAAAAAAACAAATACATCATGATTTTAATTTCAAACTGTCTCATCTGAAGTCATCAAAAGTCATCTCATCTGCATCAGGAGAGAAATATGCACAGATCAACCACCATTTACAAGCAAAAACAGTCCAAAACAGTTCTAAACAAATATGTTGGGGGATTTTGATGTGAGTGTGATTTTTCTCTGGAGGAGTATTATGAACTTGTATTTTGTCCATAAGTGTCACAAGTTAAAAGTTAAAAGGTCTTAAAGATGCATGTGTTTCTTAGAAAAATGCAGCTTTTTGCTTCGCAAGACGTTAATTGATGGACTGGAGTGTGGATTACTTATTGTGATGTTTTTATCAGCTGTTTGAACTCATTCTGACGGCACCCATTCACTGCAGAGGATCCATTGGTGAGCAAGTGATGTAATGCTAAGTTTCTTCAAATCTGTTCTGATGAAGAAACAAATTCAACTACATCTTTGGCCTTAGGGTGAATACATTTTCATTTTTGGGAAAACTATTTCTTAAAATCTTTGCAATTATAATGTTTTTTTCATAGGAAGTACAAAATGATCCTCAAAAACATTTGACATGGACCATCAACAGATCTCTCTTTTGCTTATTCACATCTGATCCATGCAGATCCAGTTTTGCTTTCGTGAAATGATGTTGTGTTCTCCTGGTTCCAAGAGCACAGTGGGGACCTGTAAAGCATTTGCTCTTCCCTTAATGTCAGATGAAATGTGATTCATTTCCTCTCCATTTTTGCTTCTTGGGGCCTTTTAAAAGCATATGTGGAAACATTTAGGTAAGAACTCGAGGGATTCGTACTCTGTTTTTTGTACCATACTGCTCTGTGTATTTGACTATGCATACAACAGCAGATGGATATCAGTGAGTGCTACAACAAATATTACTGGCAAATTGTTTGCTTTGGGTGTTAACCTTGATATTTACATCATAGGACCGATTAAAAAAAAAAAAGTTGATTTGAAACAACTTTTATTATTATTCTCTTGAATTTCCTGATTGGTCTGTCTTTGCATTCAGATATTTCCTAAATGCCCGCCCATTTTTTTTAACAGTCTTACTTCTGTTAGTATTTTACCCATAGGGATTTTAAAAAGTATTCATTAAAAAACAAAAAACAAACCAACCAGCTACAAGGTAAATCACAACATTGTGATTTAAAAAAATTTTTATTTAAAACAAAAAAGTATTTGAAAATCAGACAAAAAAACAAAGGCCGTGAACTTAACTGCTTTATTTAGGAAAAGAACTACAATCCCATGAAGCATTGCAAATCAAAATGGAGAAAACATAGAACTATTGATTTGTTGATTATGTATTTAGAAAAATACATATGTTATGTTTATTGCAAAATACGCATAACTATATAAATATTTAAGTAGTTTGTTAGGGCAGGTTCATAGGAGTGGGTTGATGCTAAAGAGTTCTTTTGGTGTGATTAACGTGTTTTGATTCTCTGATTGGTGGAGATTTTTTAGAGTCATCATGGGTAATGTAGTTTTTCACCAGGAATTCCACAGTTAAACATTAATATTTAAAAAAATATGTTGAAATAATGGACACTGGCGGCTTCAACAAAAGCATATCCCATCAATAGCAACCCCATAGGTCACAGTATCCTGTCTTTAAAGGTTTATGAGTTACCAATAAAAATCAATTCCCCTATGGAGAAAATTGAGACAATTCTGGAACTTGCCTGTTGCACAAAAAATATTTGACCGCATAATGCCGTGACCAAATGAAGTATTCCAGAATGCCATCTAATAAGTAACCTATTGTTAGTGCCAGGTCCCTTTAAGAGAAACATTATAAACAATTATAAACAGGATAATTATATGGTGGTTAAAATGTGGCCCCATATTAACCCCACTTGCCTAGTGACGGACGGTAGTCTTGTTTGAGTTTCCTCTTTTTGAAAGTGTATTTAGGAGTGCAGATCAAGAGTTACGCCGCTGGCCAGCCGTCTCGCCTGTTCTCCTTACTGCTGCTTCACAGGCTTCCTGTTTCCAAGCTTTCACCACATTCTTCAGCATGTAGATCATGCCAACACAACACTCTGCCAAGACCCCCTCAATTTTCCCAGCTGTATAACAGGGTTGATTCCATTACCATACCAGTTTCAGATGACCCATGTTGGCTAAGTAGGACCATTTGTGCATTAAAATGCTTTTTTTTTTTTTTTTTTAAGTACGTCCAACATATGTTTTTTCTGTTTGGGTTAGAGCATATGCACAAGTGCGCTCATGAGTGTGGTTTTCGAATGCAGTAATTACTGTAAAAGTTATGTTTTGAGCTAACCAGCAGGTGATGTCATAGCCCAGCTTCTAATTTGGCTGCCTTCATCATATCCACCGAACCCTTTTATGAGCCTGAGAAGAAAAATTACTTGTTAAATGCACGCAAAAGGAGAAAAAAACATGGTCAGTAGCCTATCACCATATTATTTTTCTCTTCAGCTGAAGTCTCACAGTCTCTCAAGTTGCCTCATATCGCATCAACCAATGGGTCGCAAGCAGCGTGACTGTTCCAATTCTTCCCCTCGTTTGCTTTGGCTGCTACGCTCGCCCGACTGTGTTCCAGATGCTGGTGCATGAGGTCATCCTGAAACCAGATTCCAGTCTCAACAGTCTGCCATCTCCCTGGAGATCACATTAAATATTTGACTCAAACAGGGGTCTGTCAGTTCACCATTACACCATTACTATAAAAATGCCCCCATTCACGCTTATCTGTGACCCGTTTAGCGGGTTCCCTTATTTGCTCTTTATTTGTTTTATTGAAACTGTTTGCTAATTATAACCATATGAACGGAGCTGTAGTCTAGTGGTTAGCACATGTGCGTATGTGGGTGACATGAGATCGAACCTGGTACGATTTATGAAAATCTTCTTAAGAAAAAAAGTATTAGTTATTAAGGAAAAATAATAATAATAATGAAAAAATATGTATAATAATAATAATTGCCCCACTTTTATTCTATAATAAGAAAAAATCTTAATATAAATACTCACTTTCATTATTTTTAGGAAGAGAAATCTGAAAAAAAGATAAAGATAAGAATATTCTCTTCATAAGTCTTTTCAGAAAAACAAAATGTTTTACGTTTTCTTAAGTTAGAAAATAAGAAGAAAATAGTGGTTAAGAAAAATGTTATCCTTAAAATGTTTTATGAATCCAAGCCCTGTCCTCTCTTGACTGTACCATAAAAACACCATAAATCTCATTTGAAAGAGTATGAGCCAATGATCTTTGAGCTTTGGTGAGCATGACTGTTAGAACCATGCTAAAATGTGATCCCTAAATGTCTATCTGGTCTGTCATTAAAGTTAACCGACCAGGAAACACAGAACTGAAAGAAAAAAAACTATCATGAACAGCACATTTCAGAAGTCTTCGAACTTTCGGGAAAACAAGAGTGCTTATGCCAAGTCCTGTAACAGTATCTAGCATATTTAAACCTCATCACTGTTCAAATACTTCTCCTGTGTCCATTTAAAAAAAAAAATGCTTGTGCTTGTCTAAAACAGGCATGGTTGGGAGGTTTGGTTTTAGATGTGTTAATAGGACCACTGGGTTGGTACAGCGGATGCAAACCATTCACTACACCGAAAAATAGGTCTGCGATTCTGGTTTTGGCAGTGATGTTTGACAACTTGAGCCGAACTTATTTATGGACTGTACAGGCCAACTTGCTGTTTCATTTGAAACTTTGGAATCTACCAGCTTCCTTCCAATAAAGGATTAGTTTAGGGTTCACATTTGCAAAGGAGACAGGAAAGTTCCTCAGCCTTTGGGACTTTGTGTAGACCAGTAAAATATGTCATACCACAGCCATTAGTAAGGCTAGCTGACAGACAACCCACCTGGAAAGTGTTCTGATGCATGCTAAATAATTAACCAGATATGTAAGCTCTATGCAAAGTGTTTGAAGAAGTGATTGAGAGGTTCCCTCTTCAAACATTGCCAAAGAACTGTTAACATTCCTCATCTCACCACATGCATACCAGACATACTTCTGCACATATACAGAAAAAAAATCAACACAATCAAATGTGTGCCCGCATGCTAGAAAACAAGCACATATTCGCTTGAAGCATTTGCACGAAAGTTAATATTTCATTCCCAGGAAGTGTTTGGTAACCTGCCCTCATTTTTAATGACTACATGGGAAAATTCCCAATAACGATTTGTTTTGGCGAGTGAAACAATAGGCCTATGTACGTTAATTCAAACCAGACACTCAGCGATGTGATCCGGTAAGTATGTTTATAATCGAATAATTCATAACAAATTCAATTTTTATTATATTTTCTCCAGTGTTTCACGATATCGCTTGATTTAGGTATGAATGTGCGGTTTTATTATTACCGATTAGATTTATCATACTGAAAGAAAGTCTTTCATCCCGTCTGCCAGTCTGCTAACCCGCTTTACAGCTGAACGGAACCCGTTATCAGATGAAGATTAGACCGGGGGACAATAAAAAAACATGTGCTGTTTGCTGTTGCCTATAGTTACATAACAACTTAGAGCAATTTTGTACCTCCGCCTAAGGGAAAACGGAACAAACACTCTCTTATCAATAAATGTCCTCACTCACTGTTTCCTGAGGAAACTCTGAACACTGAGTTACACGAGGCGGTGTGAGACGTTTTACAACAACGTTTCGGGGGACATGTGCTGTTTGCTGTTGCCTATAGTTACATAACAACTTAGAGCAATTTTGTACCTCCGCCTAAGGGAAAACGGAACAAACACTCTCTTATCAATAAATGTCCTCACTCACTGTTTCCTGAGGAAACTGAACACTGAGTTACACGAGGCGGTGTGAGACGTTTTACAACAACGTTTCGGGGAGGGAAAACATTTCTTTTTCTGCATTTATACATCATGATGTATTTTTATGACCTAATTTTATGAGCACGATGTTATTATAAATAATCGCTGTTATTATTTCTCACAGCTTTTCACGGGGTTTATTGGGTGACTATGGCAGCCCGTTCCAACTGTTTTTACTGTCGCGAGGACCTCAGCGGAAAGAAGTTTGTGAGGAAAGACGAGAAACAAGTCTGCGTGCGATGCTTTGACAAGTTCTGCGCCAACACCTGCGCGGAGTGTCGACGCCCAGTCAGCACCGACTCCAAGGTAACACGTGATATCAGGAGCTGTTTTTTTCTTTCCTCCGTGGGTGGTTTTGCAGTTGAAATACAACTTAAACACGCTGAAATATTGGTCTGTTGAAATATCTCTCTGATTTGTTGTAGCTCTGGCCCATATCTTTCCATGTCAGATAAGTGGAGCACACATCATAATGATAGTAGTGTAGTGATAATGCTAGTTTAATGATAGTTTGGAGAAAGTTTTACACCTTCAGTAATCTATTACACGAACTTTTACACCATCAGTCATATACTCTATCTAAACATTAGGCATTGAAGTCAAAATGGCAGTAGAAGTATAAATTAAGTGTATTTTTCCAAGCTTTTCATAATATTTTTAATCGGTTAAAAATAAATATATAGCCTACACTACTGTTCAAAATACTGAAATGTAATATTATTAAAATGTAAAATAACTGTTTCCTATTTGAATATATTTTGAAATGTAATTTATTAATGTGATGGCAAAGCTGAATTTTCAGCAGCCATTACTTCAGTCTTCAGTGTCATGATTCTTTAGAAATTATTATAATATGATGATTTGCTGCTCAATAAACATTTCTTATTATGATCAATGTTGCAACAGTTGTGCTGCTGCTGCTGCTTAATATTTTTTGTAAACTGACTTTTTTCAGTATTCTTTGATCAATAGAAAGAAAACGTATGATTTGAAAGACGAATTATGTAACATTATGTATTTACTGTCACTTTTGATTAATTTAATGCATCCTTGCTGTTGATCCCAAACTTTTTTAATTGTGGAGCATATTTACATTTAAATATATTACTTTCGCAAATATTGTTAGTTAAATTGTATTATATCACATCTCTCAGTCTTGGTTCTTGTCTATATAGGAGCTTCACCATAAGGGCCGGTACTGGCACTCGGATTGTTTCCGATGTGCCAAGTGCTATAAGAATCTGGCCAAGGAGTCTTTCACCTCCAAGGATGACAGGATCCTGTGTGGGCCGTGTAGCTCACGTGAGGATGCCCCTCGCTGCCATGGCTGCTACAAGCCCATACTGGCAGGTAGGGGACAGATAGACTCTACACCTTCTGCTGTATATGTATACGAGTATAAATGTATATGTAGATATAAAATAGATTTATATATCTTAAAAAGCAAAAATATTGGAAATATAGAAATACCAAAATATAGGAGAGAATTTTAAAAGTGTAATTTCTAGACTTGTGGGGGAAAAAATGTGGGAATGTATAAAACCCTAAAAAGTAAAATAATAATAATAAATAAATAAATTAATTTATCTTAAAAAGCAAAAATATTGGAAATATAGAAATACCAAAATATAGGAGAGAATTTTAAAAGTGTAATTTCTAGACTTGTGGGGGAAAAAATGTGGGAATGTATAAAACCCTAAAAAGTAAAATAATAATAATAAATTAATTAATTAATTATTAATTTAAAAAAGTAAAAAAATAATTAATTAAAAAATGTAAAAAATATATATATAATTAATATAATTTAAATAGATTTTTTTATAATGTATAATATAAATTATATATATGTATTATAATAAATAATACAGATTTTTGTATAAAAATAATTCATTCAGTAAAATTGTAAACTGAAGAAAATTCAGTTACTGAAACTTTTAATTATTTTAATGATTTATAATTATTTTATAGAATATTTTTAATATAGGCTATTGCCACTCCTAGTTTCTGTAAACAAATTTGTCATTACACAGAAGTCCCAGAAATATCTTCAGGGGCCTTCAAATATTGTTATTTTGACAACGGGGGGCCTTGGAGTGCTTAATTTGTATGTGACATTTTTTCCTGTATAACAGACCCTTTTCCATTTTTCTTTCCTGTTTTCCTTTCCAGGCACTGAGAATGTGGAATACAAAGGCAACTCATGGCATGATGAGTGTTTCACCTGCTATCAGTGTCAAAAGCCAATCGGCTCCAAAAGTTTCATAGCAAAGAACAACAACATCTACTGCAGCCTTTGCCACGAGAAGAAATTTGCCAAACAATGCGCTTGCTGTAAGAAGGTGAGAGATGTAGCAAAAATTTATGTATTTTTGTTCATTATTACTTTTAAAGTTGTAAGTTACTATATATTTTGTGAGTACAAAACATGTTCTTTTCTAAAATAAAGACATTTTATGATAATAATGACCATCGCAAGTTGCCTCAGTCTATTGTTTCCACATGTTTTGGCCATATACAAGTAAAAATATAATATTGCACAATAAAATACGTTATTATACTGAGGAATTATAAAGTCTGATAGACAAGGGTAAAAAAGATTTCCTGTCTCTCTGTGGAGCACCTAGGTCGAACATACTCCTGTATCTACCCAGGACATTATGAAGTGGGTGAGAGGTGTTGTCTAAGATGGCCAGACAATCTTTCTTTCTGACACTACAGTCAGAGAGTCCAGCTATAGCACTTGCTACCACAGACTCGTAGAACATCTTCAGCATCGTCCTACAGATGTTAAAGGACTTCAGCTTCCTCAAAAAATAGAGGCAACTCTGGCCCTTCTTGTAGACAGCTTCAGAGTACTTAGTCCAGTCCAGTTTATTGTTCATGTGGACTCCCGGGTATTTATAATCCTCTACAATATCCACTGAGACCCCATAAATGGAAACAGGGGTCATAGGTGCCATAGTCCTCCGCAGGTCGACCACCAGCTCCTTTGTTTTTGTCACATTGAGCTGTAGAAGGTTCCGCTCACACCATGAGACAAAGCTATCCACTGAAGTCCTGTCCTCAGTCTCCTCACCACCGCTGATGCAACCAACCATAGCTGAGTCATCAGAATATTTCTGAAGATGGCAGGACTCAGTACAATAGCTGAAATCTGCAGTATACAGAGTAAAGAGGAAAGGAGACAGCACAGTCCCCAGTGGAGCTCCAGTGCTGCAAACCACTCTGTCCGACACACAATGCTGCAACCGAACATACTGTGGTCTGCCGGTCAAGGTAGTTCACAATCCAGGACACGAGGGAGGCATCCACCTGCATCGCTGTCAGCTTCTCACTCAGTAGAGCCGGACGAATTGTGTTAAAATGGAGAAGTATCACAATCCAGGACACGAGGGAGGCATCCACCTGCATCGCTGTCAGCTTCTCACTCAGTAGAGCCGGACGAATTGTGTTAAAAGCACTGGAGAAGTAAAAAAACATGACTCTCACAGTGCTTGCCGCCTTATCCAGGTGAGTATAAGCTTGATCCAGCATGTAGATGATAGCGTCCTCAACTCCCAGGTGGGGCTGGTAGGCAAACTGAACATTTACTAATCTATAAAAGGCCTAACCATGGGCCTGAGCTCCTCCAGCACCAGTCTCTCCAGAATCTTCATAATATGGGATGTTAATGCCATGGGCCTGTAATCCTTAGGGTAACTGGAACGAGACTTTTTTGGAACAGGAACGATGCAAGAAGTCTTCCATAACAGAGGGACCTTCTGCAGTCTCAGGCTCATGCTGTAGACATGGTGAAGTACACCACAAAGCTGGGAGGCACAGGCTTTAAGCACCCTGGGATGGATCTTATCCGGACCTGCAGCCTTGCAGGAGTGAAGCTTCCTCAGCTGTCTTCTCACATGGTCAAAGGTGGAAAAAGGTGCAGAGTCAGGTGGGAGAGGACAGGGTAAAATGCTCTGAAGAGGGGGAGAGGGTAAAGAAGGCGAAGGCTGTGTGTAATTAATTACTATAATTTTGTAATTCATAATTATTGTATTCTTTTTAATATTAAGCTAAAACTGCCTGCACTCTGATTTTGCTGTAAATGTATAAAACAAATTGCTTTGTTAGATGGTGGGGGGTGGCCCCCTTGGTACAAATTTAATTTTTGTTAAAAATCTAATAAATCTCTGGACATTTTTCATACTTGGTTTATAATTAATGTCATTTCCACTAAAACTATAACTATTCTGGACATATATAGCTAACTTTTGTTTCACAGAAAAAAAGAAAAATTACACAGTCCTTGAGGGGGCGTTTTCCCCCACTCTAGACTCATACCACATTTTCAACAAAGCATATTGTACGACGATAATGACAACGATAACTAAAACGTTTTAATAATCGTTCTAAATCTATGAGAATAGAAGTGTTCATAATTCAACTATTCCGATAATGACACAGGAGGACATCATTGGAATCACTTTCAAAACGGTAAAGTTTTTAGCCTACATTATATTTCACTTCATGAAGTTGGTGATTTCAGAGTAAAGTGAACAAAAATACTTCAAGTTGCACCTGCTGTTTGCTAAGCATAACAGATACTGACTGATCGTATTGCTGCTTTATGAAGATGGTGTGCGTATGTACACAGTCATTGGTTGTCAGTGTATGTCATGGCTAATCTGAATAAGATAATGATTGATGAGCTTAATGAATAACCCAAAAGTTCGCGGGGGACTTTTTAACATGAACACAAGATCTCTCTCATAGTCATTTCTTCACACCAACATACATGTTCAAAAACAAAAACTCTCTTAAATGAAGAACTGACCTATGTGGAAATTTGACTGGCAGATGCTGAACGCGGTGAGTAGTTTCAATTTGGATTTGGATTCTGTTACATCTGATATTTTTTGTGACTTCATAATGAAAAATGATTGAATAATTTATATCTACTTTTACTTTTGATAGATTCATTTATTAAAATTATCCATGAATCAGAATATAATTCAACACTAAGAAAAAAAGCTAGAAAGCACTGGGACACAAAAGCTATAGGTACATCTTTGTACCTCAATTTCCTGTACATATTAGTAACGTAATGGCAAACATTAGTACACTTAAAAGTGCATATTAACACCAAAAGTTACACATTTATACCTTTTGAAAGGGTGACAGATTTGTGCCTTTTTTTGAGAGAGAAGTACAATTTGCAATAAAGTGGGAAATAATTTTAAACCTATGTTTGCAGTGGAGCTTGATACTGTCTTAAAATATATAATATAAAAGCAAAACCAATTTTATGCTTCATTTTTTTTTAAAAATCTTTGTACTACGTTATATGTGTTATATTTCACAGCACAATGCAATGTTTGCATATTATTATTTCTTGCCTTTTGTTAGGTGGAGAATGGAAAAATGCAATAAACTGGTTCCGGCCTTATTCATCTTCCTCATTCAATGTATAATAGCTTCGAAGGATGAAGGTATTATTGTTGTGCAAAATATATTACCATTCACAAATTATAACATACATTTCTAAACTGGGACAACTGAGTTACTTGATACATATTTAAGCTTTGTTTGTTTGATATATGAAAATTTGACAGAAGTGCTTATGTGCTAAAATGTGTTTTACAAATTTCTTTTTCTACACCTGAGGGTCAGTGCATGCTGCCAGTTTATGGGGGAAGAAGATAGATTTCATGCAGAAGGACTGTAGTTTCTGGTTGCTGAAAAATGAACACAAAATTCCTTCCTTGAATGAGCTCAGTGTGTGTGTGAACATAAAGAGGAAGCTCAGCAATTCATACTGGACCGCGTTCACGTACCTGCACCCTAATAAGACACGCATAGAGCTTGGGCTGAAGGGATTTGGAACAGAACTCCATATCATAATGTTTGGGAGAGTCTGGACCAAATCTTCAGTGGTGTCCTTGGACAACTGGCATTCAATTTGCATGACCTGGTCCAACTCAATGACTGAACCAAAAGTCTATGTCAATGGAACCAAAGTAGAATTAAAACCACAGTCTAAAGGAACGGCTCTGCAGCCTTACTGCTGTAGCGTGGCCGCCGGTGGCACTCTGACTTTAGCTGTGGCCCACAATTTTGTGAAGAACAAGATAAGCATCGAGACGGGCACTGAACTGAAGGGCAGCTTAAGTCTATTCAGGTTGTGGGAACGAGTACGCAGTGCTCAAGACATATCCAGGATGGCCTGCACTGATGGGGATATTCTGCATTGGGAGAAACGAATCTGGAACAAAGCCCAGGACTGTAAGCCTATACAAGACGTTACGCAAAAGTGCGGTAAGTGACACACATATACACACAAAAAATAGTTAACAATGCCACTGTATATGGCCATTTTTTTACAAATAGAATACAAAAACATTGTTTTAAAAATGCTTTAAACATTTTTTATATTATTTTCTATTTATTATAAGGATTTAAATTTTCACAAACATATCAACATAGATACAATTTAAAACCCAGATCTGTGTGACTTTTCGTTATTTTTGATAATGAACTGTAAATAAACATAAAAAGTAAATGGACAAGTAATACATATATAGCTAGAGATGTCACTCAGTAGGCTAGTTACTACTGTAGTTAGTTTAGAATTAAATGTTGGTTTATAGTTATTAATAAACTTACATTTACCATAAATGTAAAAAACACGGCCCTCTGAAATGCTTTATTTTGATTGGTCCATAACAATGACCACTCTTCAAATTGCTTTCATGTTTCTCGTTTCACGCCACCACAGACTCACATTCATACAAACACAAATAGCTTCTTAGTTATCTACTGTATTGCAAATTATATTAGTTAACTTCAGTATTAATATTGTAGCAGTGTTCGTCTTGTTGTTCGTCGTCATACTGAGAGAAAAGTAGGTCCGGCTACTGCAGTGCTCGTATGGTGTGGGAGTAGGCTATTGTGATACTAAGATTGTTGCCATAATGATTAAGAAAACCAAATCGACCATGGATCATTTAAAGCGGTAACCTCCGGGGAATCAGCGCTTGTAAAAACAAAGAACCCGCAGGCTAATTTATTTGTCTACTATATCCACTATATCTGTGGGCACCGGTGCCACAAACATCATCTGCTCAGAGACAGAGAGCCGAGGCACAACCAAACAATGTTTTTCCCTAAATGCAATTTAATTTTTAATCGCTAGAGGGCCAAAAGTTACATATGAAGTCCACTTATTAACTGTAAAGGAAATACAGTCAACCGATCATTATCGCTAATTAAATACTATCAAGCTAATAATGAGGGCCTATATTTACATATCTATCCTCTATATTGGACCCTTTTATATCTGACACAATGTCCTCTTGTTCCAGACTGGCCTTTTTATGAAGTAAAATTAGTGCTTATCATCATTCGTGAAGACGGAAACAAAACAAACATTTACGATGCCCCAGAAGTTGCTCATCAGTGGGTGCGCTATAGAAAACACACTTTTAATTTTTACTGCTGCTAGTACCAAGACAAAATGTCAATAATATATGTAGCTTATATCTTTCCTCTCTCCAAGTTGACACAAGCATTAGAAGAATGGCCGACACATGTATATTTGCATAAAGTGAAAGTGTTTCCTATAGGAAGGTAAGACCTTGTAATATCTTTCTAAATATAGCCTAGTACAAATTTTTTTCAGGCCAGAATCCAAATTTACTCATGTTGTCTTTCAACAGCGCTCTTACACGCTCCAGTGGAAGTGCAAAGGTGCGTCAGTGGCAATAAAGGAACAGTTCACCCAAAAATGGAAATATGCACAAAATGTAGCCTACTCCGCTTCAGGCCATCCACGATGAGTTTGTTTCTTCATCAGAACAGATTTTGTGAAATTTAGGATTACATCACAGCATGTCTTATGAAGTCAAAAGCTGCATGTTTGCATGAAACAAATCTATCATTAAGACATTTTTCAAGCTATTGCTTCCAGCTGAAATAAAATATCAACAGGGAGTGGACTTTTTCACTGGAGGAAACATTATTATGGATTTTGGCTAAAGGAATAATTTACAGTTAAAATGTCTAAATCATGATTCCTACAAACACATAGAATTCAACTTCACAAGACATCAATTGATGGGCTGGAGTCGTGTAGGTTACTAGTGGATTAATGTAATGTTTTATTAGCTGTTTGAACTCTCATTCCGATGGCACCCATTCACTGCAGACGATCCGGTGAGCATGTGATGTAATGCTAAATTTTTCCAAATCTGTTCTGATGACATTCAACAAATTTTCATTTTTGGGTGAGCTATTCCTTGAAGACTATTTGTATGTAAAATTAAAAATCATCAAACACGCTCATCAAACTAACAAGATAAATATCTCTTTGCAGGGGGGAACCATGCAACTGTTTGCCACCAGTCCTGGACTCAGCCAGTGATAATCTCTTCTCAATTGCTTCTTATCTCCATTCTAAAAGAACTGTCACAATCTGCAAGAGCTTGCTTTTCATTCATTAGTTTTGGCATATTTATTTACCTTTCAGGGAGAAAAAAACATGCATCATTACTGATAAATGAAAAAATTACAATTAAAAGTTTGAGAAATGTTTGATAATGTCATCCTTATATATCTTTGTAGGTTTGATTGCTTGGCTCACCTGAATGTGATTCCTAATGCTGATGTAGGACAAATGCAGGATGAACTCACTGAGATCCTCGCCAAGCGTTACAAAATTGACCACTATGAAATAAAAACAGATGCTAACTTCATCTTCATATATCCTCTTGGTAAATCAGATCCAGGATGGCTAGGATGCTTTCCAACAAAAATAAAGCATAATTTCCATACAAACCAAATACAGTATGTTTTTTTTTTACTCTTTAGATGATCTCTTGCCGGACCTAGACACAAACCCACCCTTAACCGCGACTGAGTCTCTGCATCGTACAACTGAAACACGAACAACCACAATTCCTCAGCTGACGTCTACAACTACTGAAATTATTACTACTGCAAAAACAACAGGCACAACACCCAATCAAGTGGCAATAACAACAGAAGTTGTTTCATCCTCAACTGAAACAAAAAAAAGTCTGTACAGCAACTATATGTATTAGTTTCTCTCTTATGGACTGTAACATGCATAGGCCTATGTGCAATTTTAGATTAACTCATGATTCTTTGAATGTTTATCTCCATTTTTTCAACAGTCACTACATCCACACCATTCATGGAAACAACCCTGGCAGGAAGTTCCACGATTTTTTTATCCTCCACAAGAAGTCTTACATTAAATACAGCCGCATGCTCTTCTACTATTTCACCTGAAGGAAACATATCAGGTCAAGAATAGCCTTTTTGTTTTCTGTTATAAAACCATGTTCTTCAATCTCATGTGCAGTTAGTGATTTTACAAAGTATGGAATATTTAACAATGTCTATCTGTATTAAAATATAGAAAGTTATTTCAGTGTCAATGTCAATGTGACTATCAATGGCTCTGGTGACTCTGAGAACATAATTACAACCTGGGTAAGATATTAAACCAAGAGAACCTAAATTCATCCAGATATGTTGCATGTCAAACTGGAAATAAGTATCACATCTCAGCATCACATCACAGTTGTTTTATCATCACTGCAGCTTCATGAAACTCTTTCTAGTAAAGGAATACACGTTTTGCACTTTAAACTCTTGACTTCCTCAACACATGCACGAAAACGAAGGTTAGTCAGTCTTGTTGTTATTGCAGAGAACAGACCAAATTCCAAGACACACTATAGAATTTTTTTAACATGTCTGATTTGCATTTGCAGTGTGGAAACAAAATCATTCAAAGTGGATAGAAAGGTAAAAACTTCCAAATATTAACAGCAATTTTCAAAAAAAAGAAAAAAATGTCATTTTCACGTTTGTTTTAGAAATGTGAACTGAATTAGAAATTGAAAATGTTTCTCTATATTAGATACACAAAAATACTGTTTTGTTCTTGTTTATTTGTCTTGCAGCGGTCTCTGCTTTCAGTAACCAGGTGAGATGATCATTACAAGACAGCAGTTGAAGAAAAGTAAACAATGGTGAACAATAATTGTTGTGAACATACAATGTGTTTTAATGGGGTTATCTGATATGGCTTGTTCCCAGCCATAGCTGTGGCTTTCATGCCCAGGTAACAACTTCCTCAGACATCAGAGAGACAGAAAAATGGATTCATGGGCTTCTGGAAAAACAATACACCAGTGGAGCAGTATTCTTATATGCCCAACCTGAGGACATTTTAATTTCTTATATTGGTATGTGATACATCTGAAGAAAAATAAAATCAGATGATGAGAGAATCAGACTATGTAGTACTACATTCTCAGTACTACATACCTGTGTTTCATTGTAATATGGACAGAAACTGGAGAATTATTTTTTTTAAATTTATATAATAAATTGAATTCTATAACCATACACAAAGCTGCCTGAATGTATCTCTCTTCTTATCTAAAAACAGGGCCATGTCCTGAGCACAACCATCACACCAGGCAAGGGCTTTTCAATTGGCCTCAAATTAGGGTTCGGCACAACACCTCACTTTCCTGTGTGGGAAACCCTGAAAAGATAGCCTATAGGCAATGGTAAGAGCCTCTCTTAAAAATATTAGTTTCAACCTAAATAGAATTGAAGTTAGAAATTGCTTCATAGTTTTTTTAAAAACATGACTAAATGGTAATGTAATTTCTGTATGACTATCAGCATCAGACATAAATGCAAAAATAATTCATGCCATTCGCAACTAACTAATCAATATTCTAAGAACATTGCCAATGCTCCTGTTAAGTCATGAAACATTATGTTCAAAAGTTTTAATAATTCTTTCCCTTGCTTTTACAAACATTGTTTATGGAAAACTTTAGAGAGAACATTCCATTTTCTCAAACATCCTAAAAATGTTCCAGGAACAGTTTGAGCCAACGTCTCAAACAGCCATTTGCAATTATGTTTGGTGCCACTAGTGGCATGGAAATTACACACTTCATCTTTAATCAAAATATAATAACTGCATGAAATCATTTAACATTTCCACTTCTGTTCTACATAATGAGACATTGATGGACAGCCTGTAAATCTGCCTATACATCTTTTGACACTCCACTTGGTTATTGTTCACTAACTCTAAAAAGAGGAAGCTGTCTGATATAATATTTGAAGGGGCTGCTGTAAACCAATTAATTACATGTATGCACCATATAGTAGTATTATTAATGTCAAAACTGTTTGTATGATCGATTTCATTGCAGAGCGAAAGCAATCTCTTGTGTTTCCATAATGTTCCAATCGTTTAAGGTTTATACAGCCATAAAATGGATGAGCAGGTTTTAAACCTGAACTTGAACAGCATTGTGTATCTTGGAGTCAAGCAGCTCTGAGCAGTTTGCAATTGATTGTGACCTTCTCACCCTTCTCTCCAAACAGTCTTCTGGATGCAAACGTTGGAGCTCTTTGGAAATCTCCAGACCTGGGGCAATGCCAGGTTGTGGTCAATAGTGTGTCAGACCTGGAGGACATTACAGTCACTAATGGTGAACATTAGATACACAAGCTTCCTGTTAAAGGAATAGCTCACCCAGAAATGGAAATTTGCTGAAAATGTACTCACCCTTGGGCCATCCAATATGTAGATGAGTTTGTTTCTTCATCGGAACAGATTTGGAAAAATAGCATTCATCACTTGCTCACCAATGGATCATCTGCAGTGAATGGGTGCCGTCAGAATGAGAGTCCAAACAGCTGACAAAAACATCACAATAATCCACAAATTACCACACAATCCATCAATTAACATCTTGTGACACAAAGAAGACCCACTGGTTATGTAATGCTAAATTTCTCCAAATCTCTACACATCTTGGATGGCATGAGAGTGAGGAAATTTTCAGCATTTCAGATGTTATTTGTTTCCTTTAAAGTAAACAGAAATTAACTGAATTTACACAAGTGGATAGGAATCTGTTTTAACACATTACCCTCTGTATGATACAAATATGTCAATGTCAATGTCAATTTTATTTATATAGCACTATTAAACACAACCGTGGGTTGACCAATGTGCTGCACAATAAAAACATTTCAATAAGACAATACAAAATAATTACTAAAAGAAACAGTACAGTAGAAAGTTCTCATTGATAAAACGCCAAGTCAAAAAGGTAGGTTTTCAACATGGATTTAAAAACAGATAGTGAAGGTGCAGATCTAATACAGTGGGGCAGAGCATTCCACAATCTAGGGGCAGCAACTGAGAAAGCGCGGTCACCCCTGCATTTAAGCTTAGACTTTGGGATGCATAATAATCTCTGGTTGGACGACCTATATAAATGGCCAAATATCTATATGGGCGCATCCTAAAAACAATCCCTATGCATTTTTTCCTATTAGACAATGCAGAAGATATTCTGATCATGATTGAGGACTTGATACATGAGAACAAAAATCTGGATGAGTACGAGCTCTCAACGGTACTGGATAAACTAGCCGATGTGATTAACATTAGCGTGATCACGCCTCTGCTGGGAGAGGTCATCATCAACATCACATCTGACATCCTGGAGTCTGACAGCAACCTGCTGCCTTTCACCAACAGGTGTGTGTGTGTGTATGTGTGACACTGAGTGTTCATTTAATATATTTGCTTGATTTTTATTAAACAATAAAAGTAATAAAAAAATCAAACAAATATAGGAAATGATTTTTCATTTATGTGGTTAACAGTGAAATATATTGTGTGTAAATATATATTAAATTAGGTCTGCTGTTGATGTGCGGGTTTTACAGGCAGATTCCTGTAAAAAAAAATTACAGGCTTTCCATGTAAACAAAACATCCCTCCCTGTGTTTGTATAGTATTCTGAACATCACAGAGTCTGTCGGAGACCAGATGTTAGGGTTCAATGGGGATTCAGTCAGTTTAACAGCTCCTGCCTTAGCAATATCAGTGTTCAATATTGACCAAGGACATTTTCACAACCTTACCTTTGGAGTCTCTTCCACTAACAAAGGCTTAAACCCTGAGGTGAGTGCACAGCACCTTCATGAAACTAGTGGAACTTTATTTTTATATACTACTTTTCAAAGGTTTGGGGATAGACTTTATAATATAATATAATAATATACAATTTATTATTTATGTAATCATTTTTATGATCATTTATAATTTAATTTATAATCATTTTTTTAAATTTATGTAATAAATTAAGCATCATCAAGTATTGATCATTGAATGTTTCAGACAAAATCTGGCCAGCAAGTTTGGATTTCTGTTTTATATTTTTTCACCCTAAGAAAATATAATGTAATGAATCATATAAATCATCACACAATGATCAAATGCTTTTCTTCTATAGATTTATATCAACCAGGAGCCTTTTGATGGTACAGTGGCCTTCATTTCTCTGCCCTCTGAAATACAAGAGCGATTCCCCATTGTAAACAACACCAGCCCACGTGTTCAGTTTCAGTTTTATGGAGTTCCGACTCTCTTTCAAACAAAGGTGACTTCATCTTTGTTAGTTGCAGATGTTCAATTTACAGTTTGTCTATCTCACTGTTAGATTATTTTGACACAATATATTTGTGAGTTTGTCTCAGAATGACCCAGATGGGAAAAGACTGAACACTTACGTGGTGTCTGCAAGTGTGACTAATGCCACAGGACGCATTGAAAACCTAAAAGAATATATTGCTGTCACTCTGCACCATCTAACAACTAAGAATGTGAGCACTTTAGTTCTTAGTAATGTCCAGGAAAAATTAAAAAACACTGGCAGAAATCATTTTTAAATTGTCTTTACCTTTAACAGAAAGACCAGGATGTCCAGTGTGCCTACTGGGATTTCAATAAGAATGGCAAGTCACTTGGACTACATGAACACATTCTTCTTCTTCTTCTTCTTCTCACATTCTACATCTCATGTGTGGGTGGGTTTGTGCATGTCCTGTTTTAGATGGATATGGTGGATGGAATCCAAAGGGGTGCTGGACGTATAATAGCAGCAGTGATTACACAACCTGTCTGTGTGACCACATGACCCACTTTGGAGTGCTGCTGGTACGACACGATTCTGTGTTTGATACTCAATTACAATTACTTATACATTTACATTTACATTTAGTCATTTAGCAGACGCTTTTATCCAAAGGTGGAATGGAAGCAATCAAAATCAACAAAAGAGCAATGATACGCAAGTGCTATAACAAGTTTCAGTTAGCTTAACGCAGTATATGTAGCAAGGTTTTTATTTATTTATTATTATATAATAAATAAAAAGAAAACAGATAGAATAGAAAAAGAATAGAGCAAGCTAATGTTAGAGGCCTTTTTTGCTTTTGTTAATTGTATAATAAATAAAAAGAAAACAGATAGAATAGAAAAAGAATAGAGCAAGCTAATGTTAGAGGCCTTTTTTGCTTTTGTTAATTGTATAATAAATAAAAAGAAAACAAATAGATAGAATACAAAAGAATAGAGAAGCTAGTATATATGCATTGAATAATTGGCCTCAATGATATGTATTAAGTCATGATTTTATTATTTTTTTTAATTTAAGGATGTGTCCAGAACTCCCATTGATGAGAAGAATGAGCAAATCCTCACTCTTATTACATACATGGGCTGTGGTGTGTCTTCATGCTTTCTTGGGATCACAGTGCTAACATACACCCTTTTAGAGTAAGATCTAATTTATAATTGATGTTTATATATGGCAATGCAGCGTACTTGTAATACATCTGTTCAAAATTTACAAGAAAATGTACATTTTATAAGTCATTTTTCATGTTACATTGCTTTGCCATTAACTTTGATGCTTTGCATCTTAATAGGAAGTTAAGAAGAGACTACCCATCCAAAATTCTGTTGAATCTGTCTCTTGCGTTACTGGGACTGAACCTGGTGTTCCTGCTGAACTCCTGGATTTCTTCTTTTGGCATCTATGGCCTGTGCATTGCTGTGGCGGTGACCTTGCACTATTTCCTACTGACTTCCTTTACCTGGATGGGCTTAGGGGCTGTGAATATGTACTTTGCTTTGGTTAAAGTTTTCAATGTGTATGTGCCCTCATACATCTTGAAATTCTGCCTGCTTGGCTGGGGTGAGACATTTAAGATCATTTAAACATTTAGAGACAGATTTAAGTTTTCAATTCATTAATTTATCTCCATTTAACATCCATTATGTCTTTGTACAGGGATTCCACTTATTATATGTGGCTTGGTGGTGGCTATAAAGAGAGATGCATATGGCATGAACACCATGAGTGATTCTCAAATGACACTGGATGATTCGGAAATGTTGTTAGTGAAGTTGGATGATTGATTTTTCATGAAAATCGTGACAGAACAGCACTACAGATAAGAAATAACTTTATATTACCATCATCATGTCAAATGAAAGTGAATTATTTCATCTTTTTCAGTTGCTGGGTGCAAAATGATGTGGTTTTCTACGTGTCAGTAGTGAGCTACATAGCCTTCATACTGCTGTGCAATGGCTCCATCTTCTTAGTGGTTCTGATCCAGATCCGAAACATGCAAGTCAATCAACCGGCCGGCACCCGAAATGGGATCTTGAAAGACCTGCGGGCTGTGGCGAGCCTGACCTTCTTATTGGGTCTCACCTGGTCTGTGGCTTTTCTCGCTTGGGGTCCTGTTAAAGTGTTCCTCCTCTACCTGTTCTCCATACTGAACAGTCTTCAAGGTGAGAAAGAGCACATAAAATTCATTTAGATTCAGTTTTAGCATCCAATCCATTAATATGTCGTGATTTGTTCCAGGTTTCTTTATTTTTGTGTTCCATTGTCTCATGAAGGAAAACGTACGCAAGCAATGGAGAATACATTTATGTTGTGGAGCTTTCAAGCTGCAGGAATACTCTGGTAAAGCACAAATTTCTTTCTTGCAACCTTAACAATCTTGGAAAACACAAATGTTAACTTCTTGATTGTTTTCAGAATGGAGCCAAACTGCAACTGTGGTTCCCAAACACAAACCCAATCCACCAAATACGTTTCCTTTCATGGCATCTGTGAGATCCATCAAGTCTAATTCAACTCAGAGCTCAACGGTTTCCTTAGAGTCCAGTCAACATCAAATGACTATCACAAGACCCGACCTTGGTAAGACATTACCAATATGATAAATTGTTAATGCTATAAGGTTCAAATCTTTTATGTTTTCTTGTTTTAACTTTTCCTGTGATAGGATTTGTATATGAAAACACTTTGGTAATACCAAGAGCCAGAACAGGATTGATAGTTCTTCCATATGATACATCTCCTGCCACAGCAAGTGGGCTTGAGTTTCCTTCAAGGCCATGGAAGAATTTATTTGACACAGATATCTACCCAACATAAATGTTTCAGATGTTTAAATGTTTTTGTTTGTTGCTCTGTACTGAAGCACACATTTTTCTGGTAACTTTCCATTTTAAAATGACACTTGACTCTTAAAAAAATGAGTGAATAAACATATAGAAAACGGATTCCTCAGATCATATTACATTACCCTAACATTGTTTCATGAAATAATAGTATAATCAAGAAAAGTTATGTTGAACCTTAAACAAAAATGATATAAATCTGACTTGATTGGGAGTTACTATACTAGTATGCACCTATTCCTGTGTCAACATTAAATATTTAAATGATGTATAAAAATGTATCATTTGTTTGAGGAGATGTGGCATTTTTGTGAAATAAACAACACGTTCCCTTAATAAATCTTTAAGGTCTAAATAAATCTTTCAAGTCTAAAAAGTTAATTTGAATGAAAAACATAGACTTGTTAGTACTGCAAAAGGGACCATAGATAGAGGAACTACACATGTGCGGCCGACAGTTGCATTCCGGAAGACGCATAGCGGCGGACTTGCACGTTCTTCTTCGGAAGTGCAACGCTTGTACGTTTTGGAGGCTCAGCACTGGAAATGGTGGGTTTCTTTTTAATATATTCTTTATTTAAAATGTTAAAACAGATTAAAGGTCTTATTGTTCACCTCATATATTACATCTAGATAGCGCTGTGGCTCTAAATAAGCACCTCTGTGTTTACTCGTCACATAAGTGGATTGATATGGGTCAGTTCATATCAGTCTTTCTCATCATCAAAACTATCAAGATGTTTTGGCTGAAAACATTGAGAACTCATAGCAGGCGCCAAATGAAGCGGCAATTCATACTGAACGCCCACAAGTCATTTATTTCCAGTGTGGTTGCCAGTTATAATCCCCTTGTAACTCTTAAATGTTCACTTATGTATAGCCTGTGTGTGTGTGTGTGTGTGTGTGTTTATATATGTATATAGAGTGTCTTTATTGTCTGCAGAGCTCATGATTTTTTACATTAATATCTCTGTCTTTCTGTAGATGAGCGGGGACTCAGACGGTAATAAAGAGTTCCATGAGCAGCTCCGTTTGCAGCAGCTGTATGGACAGAGGCGAGAGGTTGGAGAAGATCCATACACATACGTCGACCCAGAAGACGGCACTGTGTACGACTGGGACCATGAAAAGAGAGCATGGTTTCCAAAGGTCTCTCCTTCCCAAACAAAATACTACATTTACTCAACAATTCTTTTTTTCATAACCCGGTCAGAGCTAATTAATAAGTTCTGTATTAAGGTACATTTGTTATTTGTTTCTTTATAGGTAAATGATGATTTCATCGCAGCATATCAAGCAAACTATGGCTTCAATGAGGAAGGGGCCCCTGATCCAAGTGCTGCGGTCCCTGTCACCGACTTTCTCCCTGCCAAACCAGAGGAGCCCAAGAAACCAGAAGAACCCAAGAAGCTGGAGGAGAGCTCAAACCAGGAAAAAACTAAGGAGGGAGCTCAGAAAGGAGAGAAGAGGAAAGCAGATCCAGGTTAGAAATTATTCATTACCAATTTTTTATTCTAATATACCAAGTATTCTAATTAACAAATAAACATTGTGTGTTGTGTTTTACAGGATGGTTTGAAGTTGAAAAAGACAAAAACACCAATGTTTATGTGACGGGTAAATAATTTCCCCATTTTTAGATTACAGTAGATTACTATTTGTTTATAATTTTGATATGAAGTTGGTATCATGTTGTAAATACTGGTATGACTCCCTCTACTGGCCATTTCTGTTTTTTAAATCACTTGGCTGGTTTAAATAAGAGCTGACAATCCAAAGTTAGGCTCACAAAATGTTTTTCCGTGAATGTGTCTCTCTTCTAGGTCTTCCTCCAGACATAACTCCTGATGAGTTTGTGGAGGTCATGTCCAAATGTGGAATTATCATGTGTGATCCTATCACAGAAGAGTATAAAATCAAGCTCTACAAGGACAAGGACGGCAACCAAAAAGGAGATGGACTTTGCTGCTACCTGAAGGTTGGTCATTGTAATACTACGATCAAGTTTATTTATCCCTTTTGCTGTGCTGAAAATCTTGAATGAAATTGATTGATCGTAGGCATCATTGATCTGTGTTTATGCACTAAACTAAATCTGGTCTAAATGACCACATAACTCCTGATGAGTTTGTGGAGGTCATGTCCAAATGTGGAATTATCATGTGTGATCCTATCACAGAAGAGTATAAAATCAAGCTCTACAAGGACAAGGACGGCAACCAAAAAGGAGATGGACTTTGCTGCTACCTGAAGGTTGGTCATTGTAATACTACGATCAAGTTTATTTATCCCTTTTGCTGTGCTGAAAATCTTGAATGAAATTGATTGATCGTAGGCATCATTGATCTTGTTTATGCATCTTAGTTTATGAGTAAAAGAGCATTATATGTGGATATTTTTGCCAGTGTTTATTCAAAAAAATAAGACGCATAAGCTCAGAGGTCTAATCAATTAAGCTCCGAAAAGAAATGTAAAACGTGTGCTAATTGAAAGAAAAGAAGTTCACCGCTTAACAAGAAACTGACAGGCTGTGTAACACAGTGAAAAAAGTTGTTATACCCTGTGTGAGCAAAGTCAGTAAGTTTTAGTCCAATTTGATAACATTAACTAGCATTTTCAGGAGAAAAAAAACCCCTCCCTGGGTCTAAACTTACTTTACATTCAATGCTATTTTACTATTATTGATATACTATTAAAATATTTATTAATATTTTGAATTAGATTTTTATGTCCATTTTAAATTTAGTTTGTTTTAGTCATTTTGTTATGTGCTTGCTTTTGTTGTTTTTATTTGTATGTTTATATATACACACACACACAAACACATTTCTATTTAGATTTATTTTTAATTGTAGTAATTTAGTACTTCAAAGTTAAATTAACATTGTAATCTCTTTAACACTGTTTACATGTGCGTTTATATAATTTGTAGACAAATGTTTTCATTATTTTATAATTCCTTGCAGAAAGAGTCTGTAGCTCTTGCCGTGCGGCTTTTGGATGAGACAGAGATTCGGGGCTACCAGCTGCATGTGGAAGCAGCGCGATTCGAGCTCAAAGGACAATATGATGCCAGCAAGAAGAAGAAAAAGAACAAAGAATACCGTAAAAAGCTCCAGCAGCAACAAAAGTAAGAACCTGTTCAGACTGACTCCTGCGGCTCTGTATAGTTGATTCGGACGCATTGTGCAACAATGCTCTGCCTAATCACCATATTTTTTGTGTTGCTGTAGCTATGACTGATATTTTTGGAATTTATAATTAACAGGCAGCTGGACTGGAGGCCGCAGAAAGTTGCGGAAACTCGAAAAAGGCATGAAAAAGTCGTCATCATCCAAAACATGTTTCATCCCAGTGACTTTGAGGCAAGAGTTAATCACAAAACACGCTGACACACCCACAAACACACTGGAACATACTACAGATGTTAGTGAATAGATGAACATTTTGTTGGCAACACTTTACACTGAATGCCGTCTGCATAAAAAAAGTGTCTTCTGACAGAGCTTTTGTCAAATATCTTTTGCTGCAGATTAAACCAGACCTACAGAATTTCTTTTTACAGTTCAGAATAACTTGATGTATGAATAACTTGATGTATGAAGTTAATTACAATAATGCTCTTGATTAGCAACAGTTTAGAGCTATGGCATTGTTTAGTTTCTCTGTAGCAGCGATGAACATCTCACAGCTGGTCTGTCTGCATTCCTGAAGTAGGTGCAACCTAAAGGGTCAGATGAGAACAGGAATGCAGGTGTGGATCTGCAGTTCACACATCGTCTTGATTTCTATGACTATTAATTGTTTAATGAATGAGACTGATACTTAAATTGCTAAATTTAAGTATCTAACTAAAACTATGTATGTGACGCAACTGTAAATAATATAGGCCTCAATTATAAATAATTTAAGTCTGAGATAAACTACATACAGTACACACTATCGTTCAAACGTTTGGAGTAAGTAAGGTTTATTTTTACGAAGTTAATATTTTAACTTGACAAATAAACTCAACTCCGCAATTAAATGCTGTTTCTATGCATCAAAGAATTTATGAGAAAATGTTTATGGTTTCCGCAAAAATATTAAGCAGCACTACTGTTTTAAGCATTGATAATAAGAGATGTTTCTTGAGCAGTAAATCAGCTTATTAGATTGATTTCTGAAGATCATGTGACACTAAAGACTAGTTCAATGATTCAAATTGTAATTGTAATAATGTTTCACAATGTTACTGTTTTTATTGTATTTGCTATATTTTTGATCAAATGAATGCAGCCTTGGAGAGCATAAGAGACTAATAACTTTAAAAACCTTACCAGCCCCTTAAACAGTAACGTACTAACTAGAATAATAAATTTAACACAAGTATTAAAGTGCCCCTATTATGGATTTTTGAAAATTACCTTTCATGCAGTGTGTAACACAGCTCTAAGTGAATGAAAACATCCTGCAAAGTTTTAAATCTGAACCGTGTATAAAGTTATTGTCTCTCAAAAGAAAGAGTCGACTCTGAATCATTGAAACGAGTCGTTTTTAAAACGAATCCCAAGCCGTTTCATGTTGACGTCAACATGAAATATTAGCATATTGCCCACCCACTTGTTGGTCTTTTCGTGTTGGTCTGAATGAAAATGCAAATTCATTCTTTGCCACTAGGTGCTGCTTTTGGAGCAGTAAAAATAGCAGTTTCTCCGGTAACGCTGTACACAAAGCAGCACTGCTCTCACAAACACTGCTTTATCAGGCATTACAGGCATGATGCAATGGAAATGAGACCAATCGGACCAATCACCGCAGATTAGCATCAAGCAAAGGAAAAGGGGGGGGTTCTTCAAAGTTGCTATCCTTTGCTAGATTTCAGCTCTGCGCACTCTGGACATTCAAAAATCAGTCAAACCTCATCCATTTCATTTTTTTATATATATTTTTTTATTTTAGTACCAGTTAGGCACAATTTATATTTTGTCAACA